GAGGCAGAGCAGCACCAGCGCGTTGGCCAGCAGCGAGACGCCCATCGGGCCGGCGCCGGGTCCCGGCGGGGTGGCGTCGCCCGAGCTGCTGGCGCGCGTGGCGCCATGGCGGCGCCGGGTTGCGGGCCCTGAGCGCCGCGGCGGCGGGGCGCGCACCATGAACTCGTGGGACGCGGGCCTGGCGGGGCTGCTGGTGGGCACGATGGGCGTCTCGCTGCTGGCCAACGCGCTGGTGCTGCTCTGCCTCCTGCACAGCGCCGACATCCGGCGCCAGGCGCCCGCGCTCTTCACCCTGAACCTCACGTGCGGCAACCTGCTGTGCACCGTGCTCAACATGCCGCTCACGCTGGCCGGCGTCGTGGCGCAGCGGCAGCCGGCCGGCGACCGCCTGTGCCGCCTGGCCGCCTTCCTCGACACCTTCCTGGCCACCAACTCCATGCTCAGCATGGCCGCGCTCAGCATCGACCGCTGGGTGGCCGTGGTCTTCCCCCTGAGCTACCGCGCCAAGATGCGCCTCCGCGACGCCGCGCTCATGGTGGCCTACACGTGGCTGCACGCGCTCGCCTTCCCCGCCGCCGCGCTCGCCCTGTCCTGGCTCGGCTTCCACCAGCTGTACGCGTCGTGCACGCTGTGCAGCCGGCGGCCGGACGAGCGCCTGCGCTTCGCCGTCTTCACGGGCGCCTTCCACGCGCTCAGCTTCCTGCTGTCCTTCGTCGTGCTCTGCTGCACGTACCTCAAGGTGCTCAAGGTGGCTCGCTTCCACTGCAAGCGCATCGACGTGATCACCATGCAGACGCTCGTGCTGCTCGTGGACATCCACCCCAGGTGAGGGGGGGGCGCGGGGAGGGCCCTGGGGAGGGCCGCGGGGGACTCGGTTCCGGGAGGGCTCGTGGCAGGAGGAAGGGGGGTCCCTGTGTTTCCCACCACCCCCTCCCCACCCCCCCATGCCCCAGCATGCGACCTCGGGCAGGCCCCTTTGCCACGGTGCCTCCCTTCTTTCTTGGAAAAACTGAGGTGGGGGGAGGGCCCAATGCTGCCAGTCTTGAGACAGGTGCCTAGAACGTCCACCAAGCAGGGCCACCAAAAGCAGGGGTGACACAGTGTGTGCAGTTTTTGAAGCATCGGGGTAGAAAGCACAGAGTCAGCACTTCGTCAGGCTTCGGAGAGTCCTGCGTGTGTTTGTCGTTTTCACTTTAGAAAGCCTGCGGAGAGGGCAGTGATCTCTATTCACTGCTTGAATAGGTTCTAATCAGGCCCCGAGAGTGTGGCCTTGTCGCTTGAGGAGCCCCTCTAGAGCTCTTCCAGCAAGGAAGTGCTGCTCTTCTGGGTCTTTCCTCTCTCTGGGGTCGGGGGCGGCCGCTGTCTCCAGATCCCCTGTTGTGTGAGTCCTCAGGCTGCACCTTCCTCTGTGGGACCTTAAAGGAGCATCTGAAGGGCTCTAAGGGGACTGGAGGGGAGATCTTGCTCTTCCCGGACAGCACTGTCCCGTGTCTCCCAGACTTGGAGCCCGGAGGTCCCTGCAGAGGGAGAGCGTCACCCACGAGGCTCCTGGGACAAAACCTGTCTGCACCGCCTCCACCGTCACCTGCCGCTGTCTCAGAAAGGCAGATCAGGGTGGGTGGCTCAGGTGCGGCTACGCCCTGGGAGCTCCTGCCATCCTTGGGAGCATCTCAGGAAGGGAAGGAGGAGACTCTCAGCTGAGGTGTCCTGAGCTCACCTTGGTTTTCATTATGAGAGTAGGAAACCAAGGAAGGAAACGGCTGGTGGTGTCTCTGATTTCTCTGCTGTTTTAGATCCCATCGTCCCAGGGAAGGACGGGCGCCCCCTCTGTCGCCCGGGTCCTAAGTAAGGGGGCTGTGGCTTCCAGATGGTGCAGAAAGTGAGGTAGACAGAGAGCTCCTAAGGGGGGTTGCTGGGGGCAGTGAGGGAGCTCCGTCCTCAGGGTGTGAATGCCCCTCCCCATCCAAGGGGAAGCAGGCTCGTGACTGAGAGGGGCCAGACTGGAGGTGTCAGTCTAAGCGAGGGTTCCTTCAGTGTGAGTTGTTTCTGCCCGTTGAGCCATAGAAAGAAAAGTCCTTAAACTTCACTGTGTCCGCACATACACAGGCATGCGTGTATGTATCCATTGCTCCCCCCCACCCCCCAGAATGGCCCTTCCGCATTACATGCTGGGCCAAAGCTTCTAGCCACAGAATCTTCCTTATGGAATCATTGACAGTATGTACATGTGAATGACCAATAGCACAGACACCAGGGCATATGAACCCATGTGTGCAAATGTGTGAGCTTCACTTACCCAATCGCATGTGGTCATGTGTAAACCGCGTGTCGAGCAGACAGGTCACCACATGTGCACATGTCCCAGGGGACATACATGCCCACTGACCTGGGCTGACTCACTGCCTGTGTCTATTCATGGTTCAGTGTCACTTAAGGAAATATTCTGCAGCCATAATTGCAGAGCTGTTCCCGTTCCGACCTCCTGGGGTGTGAGGACCTTGCTTTGGAAGGTGCATCTCTAGGGGACGCCTGGGTGACTCCGTCGGTGAAGCGTCTGACTCTTGATTTGGGCTCAGGTCATGATCTCAGGGTCTGTGGGATCGAGCCCTGTGCCGGGCTCTGCATGGAGCCTGCTTGGGATTCTCTCTCCCTCTCTCTCTGCCCTTCCCCATGTCTCTAAATAAATAAAGAAATAAATAAATCTTAATAAATAAAACTTAATAAAAAAAAAAAAAAACAGGTGCGTCCTTAGGACTTGACCAGGGCTGTTTTAGATTCTGTAGGCAATGTTGTTGAACAATATAGATTCCCATAGCAGGGTCCCTAACCATGAGTCTAAGTAGAGGAGGGTTTGAGCCAGGAGAGGAATCTGTCCTTATTCAGACCAGTACAAATCCCATCCCTCTTGTCCCTCCATGTTCCAGAACAGGAAGGGCTGTGGCTCCTTTTTAGCCCTTGTAGGATGTAGGGCCATCTCCACTCTCGCAAACATTGCAGATCTGTCACTGACTCCAGGCTGCTGCTCTGCTCGCCTCCAGTCCCCTCTGCTCTCTCTGATCCCCTAGAGGGGAACCTTGAACTCTTCTAGGCTCCAGGATGCTTTCAGAAGCTCCTACTTCTGATGCCATGGGGCCTGCAGGGCCAGCATTAATCCGCACTGGGGAAAGGAAGGGCTTCTGGGACAGGAATTGCCTTTGGCCAGTTCAGACAGGCCCCACTGGCTGAGGGCTGGCAAGAGGTTATGGCAGAGTGGGCAGATATGATGGCACTCTCCCTTCAATGAACCCAGTCTGCCTTCTGTCCCCAGGTCCCCAGAGCAAGAGGGTAGGTAATGGGCCACAGAGGAGGGCAACAGCTTCCTGACAGCTTATCCACAGCCTTCTTTCTTGGCATCTCCAAACTCTTCCTCGCCACAAATGAGAAACTGTGCAGCTAGCGTGGTCCGATGGAGAAGGCTGCATCTAGAACCTCCAAGTCCTAGGCACAAAGCCTCCAGAAATATCAGCCAAGCCTCCTGGGCTGGTTTAGTGCTGACAGCCAGGACACCTGGGGATCAGCAGAACCCGGGTTTCCTTATCTGGACGGCCAGGGCGGCAGGTGGAGGCTCCGCTCACTGGAGGTTTTACTTAACAGCCACCACACTAATGGCCTCCTGGGACTTAATTAGAAGGGACCCATTTTCAATTCCCTGAGGCCCGGGTGACGTTTGTCAGGAAGCTCCCCAGTGGTGCCTGTTCTTCCCACAGAGTGTTTAACGTAGCAGCAAGTGGCGGTCTGGACTCCTTTGTTTCGATACCGTCAAAAGGTCGGGGACCCTCTGTCTTAAATCTGTCCCAAGAGACATTTCCCACTCCTGTCTTTCTACCGTGGTGTCTCAAGTTGTGACGTTCATAAAGCAATTAGGAATTCCTAATATTTATTACCTACCTGGCCCCCTGATTGCTCAGTCTGTGTGGTTCTGTTCTCCCAGACCATAGCTCTGGGCTAGTTGTAGCCGGTCCTGTCCTCCGTGCTGCCAGAGCCTTGGGCTGTCCTCTGACGTGGGACATAGGTGGGGGCTGGGGCACCGAGGCTGGATCCCTGCATCTCCCCGTGCAGCTGAGGGCTGCCACTCGGCTGGCACAGGTCAGTGATTTCGCAGAGCAGAGTGTTGGCGAAGCATACTTATCCTCGTGGTCAGGGTCGGCCAACGGTCGGCTAAGTGCCAACCCTGGAGGGCGTCGGAGTTGGGGCATAAGACTGGCAAGGGCCTGCAGAGATGACCCCCACTGTGCCCTTGATTTTATAGGTGAGGAAATTGGGAGACCCAGCGAAGGAAGGCAGGGCACTTCCTAATCGAACAGATCTAGAACGTGGCTCAAGTCCAAACTTGTGCCCAGTTCTGCCCCTGAGATTTATGGGCGGGACAAAGGTGCCCACAGAGGCTCACAAACCATCTATATAAATATTTAGAAGTTCTAAATTAAGCTTACAAACTGTTAAATGAAATATGTTCTATCCTCCTACCTTGACAAGTGTACATTTATAACACTTTGCAAGCCTGGGTTCAAATTTAGAATTCTCGAGCTCCTTGGAGTTCAGCCTCGTACATGGCGGGGAGAGCTGGGCGGGCTCCGAGCACACAGCCCCTGCCTCTCCTCCCCACCCCTACCCAGTACCGCAGGGAGCCTCCACTCCTCAGGCCCCGAGCCGGGCACGCATCTGGCATCGTCCACCCTTGTGAGGATGAACGGGCCCGGGGAGGAATGCTGACACACATTCTGGACGCAGGATCGGGGCATCTGGGCAGGGAGTTCTGTGTTCCAGGTACGTGGGGTCCAGGTTCCAGGTACTGGTCTAGAACGGATGCTGTGGGCTCTGGGTGGGCACACGAAGTCTTCATTTCATGAGAGGGGCGTCGTCCCTTCAATGTCCAGGACCCAGGACAGTGCCCCTTCGTGTGAAGTCTGAGGACACGACTTTTCGCACTAGTGTGCTGACCCCAGCCTCAAGGTCTGCTCCACCGTGGCTCAGCCTGTCCCCTTGCCTTTTTTTTTTTTTTTTTTATTCTAAAAGCCCAGAAAACAAATCTGGATCACCCCGGGAGTACTCGGAGCGTGTGCTCAGGACCGACTCCAGTCATCTGGGGACCACCGAAGGCCCAGACCATTGTGCTGGGCATGGAGGTGCCTGGGACTGGAAGATTTCGGCCGTGACTTCCTCCTTTACTCAGTTTTCAGACATTACCTGGCTTCTCCATTCCCTTTGCCGTTTATTGAAGCCTCCTGGGAAGCAGCTCTCCGGCTCCACATGTCACAATGCTGGAGAGCCCATCTCTCTGTCACCAGGAAGCCCTGTGTCCTGTCGCAGCCCTCAGGAACCCCCACACTGATGTACATGCTCGGACTCTGGGCGAATGCTCCTGGCCAGGGGAATCTGGGGCCCCTCAGAATCTGGAGATTCTGCCCACGAGTCTGAGGACTCCAGCCACTACCCCCGTGCCCAGGAATATCCGGAGAAGGCGTTAGTGTGGCGAGACACAGCTTGCTTCTTGCTCTGTGATCCGGTGGGGGTGCAGTGGGATCTGGGGGAGACACCCCAGGTCCTAGAGTCAGGAGGGCTGGAATGAGTCCCCATTATTTCTGTCCCAAACTCGCTGTGGGATCCTGGGCAGGGCATAAACCCTTCTGCCCCTCAGTGTCCTCATCTGCAAATAAATAAAACAATAGCTTACAGGGCTATGAGATTTCAGGGAACTCAGTTTTGCAAAGCTATGGTGGGAGAAAAAATGAGAGCGAGAGCAGAATGATTTTATTGTGCTGTTCTGGGCGAGCTGCTCTCCTACTGCGCTTAACAATAATGATAAGCAAGAGGGCTGCCCTGCTGCCCTGCCCTCCTTCTCCTGCCATCCCCCGTCCTTCCCCAGAAATCGGGGGAGCTCCGAGCAGGGAGGATGGGTCTGTCCCCTTGCAGGGGCTCAGGGAAGCAGCCGTGTGGTTCCTGGCCAGGAGCGCCAGACTGGGCGTCAGCAACCAGGTCCTAGTTCTGTCGGCACCTCACTCTCTCATCAGGGTCAAGTCCCTGTCTTCTCTGAACCTCACTTTCCCCATCCATGAGCTGGGTTGGGTGGATGAGGGGATTGGATTTGCCGTACCGCACGTGACTGTGTGACCGTGGAGTCTAGCCAGTCTGTCTCAGAGCAGAGACATGACCCGGCCCGCGTGGATGCTAACCGGAAGCCAACATCCACCACAGACACCTACAGCCCGCCAGGTGCTAATGGCCAGGTGCCATTAGGACAGCAGCCACCGGGTTCCTGGAGGCCACAGAGGGTCACCGAGCCAGCATAAGAGTCAGGATCAGCTCACAGCCCCTCTGGCAAGCTTCTGGGCGCACCTGTTTCTGTCTGTCTCTCCCTCAAACAGGGCAGAAAGAAAACTTTTGCAGTGGGAGGGAGCCCTGTGATTTTGGAGTCCAAGGTAGTGCTAGAACATGGTAATTGTTCAGTAAACGTGTTGAATACATACTCATCATGGTTAGCCCTTACTGAGTGCTTGCTCTGAGTCAGGCACCGCCCTGGGTACTTTGTGGGTGTTCACCTCGAGAGGAGCCTGTGAGATGGGTACTGTTATAACCAGCATTTTAGAGATGAGGCAGCTGATGAACAGAGAGGCTGTGTGACTTGCCTACAGCCACACAGCAATGGAAGGGTGAAGCCTGGATCTGAACCCAGAAGTCTGGCCCGGGTGCCACATGCTTAGTACTTCACTATTAGTGATGGCCTTAACATCCATCGATGAGCCGTGCTTTGTCCTTTAATAGGCTCAAGACTTTTAAGGCTCCCTTAAAAGAATCTGTTTTAGAGACAGGTTTCTAGCATCTCTTTTGAGGAAGTCACTTAAAAAACTAATGGAGACTCACTTTTCCTAAGATGTATGAGGAAATGTACACGTGTACGTACCTAACATATACTCACTGGGTGCTTTCTGGGTGTTAGATGTCGAGCTTTGAACTGGGGGCACCCACGGAAGTAACATGTCTGCAGAGTGCTTGCTGTTTAATTCTCCCTGCTGCCAAAGCTTTGCAGGAACAGATAAAAATTTTCCCCGTAGATTTTTACAGTGAACGGGAGTGACATTGATCATTCTAGCCTGTACAGTGTCCATTTTATTCCTCTGGGTCACTGCAGTGCGTCCGTTTGTCCTTCTGAAGGCTTCCAAAGCTTTGCCAACATCTGCTTTTAAGTGTTCCTCATGGGGTTAAGGCAGGATTATCTGGTGCCGCAGGGAGAGGGGAGACGGTCGGGGTCCTCAGCCCTGCAGCAGCGACCTTGTTTCCTCCGGGGGAGTACTGGAGGAAGCTCCTCACTCCTCCAGAGCTTGGTAGCTGGTGAGTCATTTCTGTCCCTGATCAATGGTGGCTCTGCTTACAGCTATTATGAGATTCCCCTTGGATAAATGAGGAACCAGGTTCAGAGAGATTGAGTGACTTCCCCAAGGCCACACAGCAGTGAGGGCGGAGCTGGGACTAGGACATCCAACCCACAGCTCTTTCGTTCACTGGGGTTATTCCAAAGCATCTGCGAAATGGACAGCATCGTCAGGGCCACAGATGGGAGGAGGGCCCAGCCCCGGTGCCACCCTCATTTATATGAATTCGGCGCTCGTTTTTTAGGGGATGCCCAGAATGCTCTGCTTCTCTCGTGGGGTGAGTATACCATGATGGCTCAGGACATCCGGCTCAGGTCTCAAATCTCCAACGGTTCTCGAGTCGATTACGTGAACGTTTGGAGGGCAATACCTTAATATTGAAACAAACAGGCCTGTGTTATGGAGACTGGGCCAAACACATTGTGCCCTAGGGCGACCCTTGTCCCGCTTTGCCGAGTACTGACCGGGCTCTCCTAGGATGCAGGGCTTTGGGTGTTAGAATCAGGACATCCCAGACAGACCAAGATGAGTCGGTTACCTCACTGCACCCAGGCCTCCTGGGTAGGGACCTACGCTTTCTCTCCACACCCACCCATATCACGCACATGTCACAGGAGCCAGAGGACATTGGTAGGAGAATCTGCAGAGACCCACGTATAAATGGAAAGCGAGGTGATTAAGACTGACTGTTGCTCTGTGGCCTCAGGCAAAGTCCCCCCAGTCTTCCTGCCCCATGAGCTGTATTCTTCAGATTTTTCTGGATGAGATGATGCCCTGGGGCCTCCCTAGGGGTATGTGATGACCCTAACTACTTGGGAGGTGACACTCAAGGCTCCAGAGTCAGATGGCCTGAGCTCAGATCCTGCCATCCCCTAGGACGACCGACTGTCCTGGTTTGTCCTAGATGGTGTTGGGGGGGGGGGTTCCTCAGACATGGCACTTTCCGTCTTAAAACTGGGACAGTCCAGGGGCACCCGGGTGGCTCTGTCGGTTGAGCATCTGACTCCGGATTTCGGCTCAGGTCATAATCCTGGGGTCGTGGGATCGAGCCCTGTGTCGGGCTCTGTGCTGAGTGTGGAGCCTGCTTGCCCCTCCCCCACACTCATGCCCATGATTGCGCGCGCTCTCTCTCTCTCTCTCTCTCCAATTTAATCAATCAATCAATCAATTTAAAAAACTGGGACAGTCCCGATTACCCAGGACAAGCTGGTCACCCTACCACCACTACTCACCAGCTGTGTGATGTTGAGCAAGCTACTTATCTTCTCTGGGCCTCATTTCCTTACCCGAAAAGAAGGCTACCATTGTACTAGTCCTCCATTTCTAGAGACATTGTGAGCATCAAACACACTCAAGCACCTGAGCCTCCCTCACAGTGTCTGCAAAGGGCACGAATTAAAGACGCAAGGAACGTGGGTTGTTACTGACGTTGGTTGTTAGAAATGAGTAACGTGACTTAACAATAATCATTTTTCAGCCAGTGTGAAACCTGTACGTACCGAGCCAAACTCCAGTTCCCAGCTCCACATTCTGAGCCGAGGGGAAACAATCCTGCAAGAATTTCAAGGGCCTTCAATCCAGTCTAATGTGGAATTGCCCACCTGTGATCAGAACCAGGGCGAAGAAGGGTTTTGATTCCGTGTTAAAATGATAGTCCTGGCGCGGGGCAGGGGAGGGTGCCCCGGCGTTAATGCTGCTGGGAACCTGGCTCGTGCACCTTCTCTCCGCACCTTGCGTTCCTTGAACACACTTGGCCTCGTTGTGGAGCCAGGTCACTGCAGCACGGGCCTGGATTTGCCAGGTTATCTCCACTTCCTGGGCAACTCTGTCCACGGTCTTCCTCCTTGCTCATTTTTGGAGTGATGTGATTTATTTCAAAAAGAAATGGTAGGAACACATGCCCGCGTGGAGTGCCAGGGGAAGGGGCGTGGGAAACCCTGTGGCTGGCCTTGCCTTTCTGGCTCTCTGACGGTGGTAATGGACAGCTCGCTGTTGCTCATGAATTACCCCGTGGCTGCAGGAAAGGGGTTACGCAAACCACTTCTCTCAGCTGGCGTGAGATGTCAGTTCTCGAAAGGTCCTGGCGCAAGTGGAGTCAGGACCAGGGTGTGGTTGGAAGCATAGACAGCAGGCTCCTGATTCCATCCTCAATGCCGTGTCCCTCGTGGGGACAGTCTCTTGGCTTCACTGAAGGAATCAAGTGACTTCTCCTTCAGTGACCCCAGAATGTAGTGTCTGTGGCTCCAGGCAAGGCTGAGGCTCTTGATGGAAGACGCAGGGCTGAAGACATGGCGGAAAGGAAGCCCCATGCCACTCTGCATGCCCAGAGTCCAGGCCACCCCGGGTCGAAAGGACCAGCTTTGAGAAACATGGACGAGGGTTCAAGTCACGTCTCCACTTACCAGCTGAGCAAATCGTTGGGCTTCTCTGAGTTCCTGCTCTTCCTTGTAAAACAGGGCAGGTAAAACACATCTGGAAGGATCTATGTTGGTAAAGACAAGAGTTAGAGATATTAATGGGGCGCCTGGGAGGCTCGGTCAGTTAAGCATCTGACTTCGGCTCAGGTCACGATCTCTCGGCTTGTGGGTTGGGGCCCCGTGTCGGGCTCTGTGCTGACAGCTCAGAGCCTGGAGCCTGCTTCGGGTTCTGTGTCTCCCTCTCTCTTTGCCCCTCCCCCAGTTGCTCTCCCTCTCTCTCTCTCTCTCTCTCTCTCAAAAATAAATCAACATTAAAAAATTAAAAAAAAAGAATTAAGGATATAACTTAGAGATTATGGACTCTGGTGCTGGCATATTGCAGGTGATCGGTGAAATTTCATGAGGAACAAGGATGAGTTTATTTGCACGTGGGCACTGTGCTAATTGCTTTCTGTGCTTTCTGCGTTGAACGCCTTCATGCATCTGTGTGCTTTTTTGCATTCAAGTCTCAAAAGAGCCCCTGGTGGCATTCTATTATATTACTATGCACGTTTTACAGACGATGACCCTGAAGGCTTAGCAAGGTCACGCCCGTGTCCAAGGTCACGCGCCTAGGGCCAGGACTTGACCTCGGGTCTGTCTGGCTCCTGTCTGAGTCCCTGCACGCAGCGTCCGGCCCGTGTTCGCTAACGGCAAGTCCTGTCTCCCCCTCTCGCGTGCAGTGTGCGGGAACGCTGTCTGGAGGAGCAGAAGAGGCGACGGCAGCGTGCCACCAAGAAGATCAGCACCTTCATAGGGACCTTCCTCGTGTGCTTTGCGCCCTACGTGATTACCAGGTGAGCCTGACCTGCGGGCCTCTCGCTTTGGAGGGCAAAGCGGCATCCGCGCGACCTGGAGCAGGCACCCGCCTCTCTCGGACTCGCGTTTCCACAGAGTGTGTTGGGGGCGACACTCGGGATGGGTTTGGTGAAAAGGAGGGCACGCGCTTTGCCTCTTCAGCCTCCAGGTGGGGATGGTGACTCAGAACCAAAGGGGATGGTGAAAGAGTCTCCCCCTGATTCCCAGCTCACATCATCCAACCCTTTGGCCTCGGCTCTGGCCCCAAGAGGCAGGGAAAGGAAAGGAGACGAGAGGACGGGGGAGGGGAGTGGGAGGGAGGGGAGGGGAGGGGAGAATGGAAGGAGGAAAACGCCCTGCCCCAGTTGGGTTCCCGCTGCCCACTGAGCACAGTGTGGCCCAGCCCCCAGGCATCCTCAGCCAGGACACCCTGCTCAACAGCAGGGGCCACATGCCGTCTGCTCTGCCACACCGGGGGTGTCCTGCTTCTGGTACGGGTGTTGTGAGCTGGTGACCTTCTCTTCCATTCACCGACCCCCCCGACTGCTGCCGGGGCGCGACACGCTGGCCTCAGGGCTGTGTGTACCAAAAGCCAGCCTGCTCTAGCTGCAGAATTTCCTTCCCGTGGTCTGGCCAGGGGGAGGAAGAAAAAAAAAAAAAAAGTATCATCCAATCAATTTTGCACACTGGAGGGGGGGAAAAAAGCCCCAGGACTCTGTATCCAAAATGGCTTAACTATTTGAGAAGTTGACAATAAAAAAAGGGATTTTGATGTTTGAGTAGGAAGCGGATGTTGAGCCTGGGAAGTAGGATCTGTGCAGGTGTGTATGTGGGTGTGTGTGTGTGTGTGTGTGCGTGCGAGAGAGATTGGAAGAGAACACAGCTTAGCATCCCGGCATCCCCAGCTGGCAGGGACCTGGAAGGGACTCCCGGCCTCACTGGCCCCCAGAGTGGGCTTGCCCACAATAGCCAGGTCTCCCCATTTCTCCCGTCCACACTTATACTGAGCTGATATCTGGTTCCCCTGTGGTGCTGTCCGCTTTCTTTGGCCCAGGGGAGCATCTGTCCCCTCCTCTTACGGGTCCTGCCGATTTGCAGACAGTGAGCCTGCCCCCCACCTCCCACCACGGCAGCCCCCATCCTGTCTTCTCTTGGAGCGTCTTTCACTGTCTTGTCACAGATGCTTCCCATGGGCGAAATCTCACTTTGAACGAAGGACCTAGGACCGTCTGCAGGTCTCTGGATAGGTCTGATCTAGGCAGAGCAGAGCCATCAATTCTTTCTTCTAGAACCGTCCGCTAGACCGCAAGACTACTGACATCTTGTGTGGAGCTCCCTTTGTGGGGGGGCCGCTCTGTGCATCGTAGGGTGTTAAGGGCACCATGTCCCCTACTCACCCACTACTTCCCTCCTGCTCCCCAGTTTTAACAACTAGAAATGTCTTCAGACACGGCCCCGGGGATCAGCCTTCACCCTGGTGGAGAACCCTTGGTCTAGACACTCCACATCCAGCCAGGACGCCAGAGCTTGCTTAGATCAGGTTTTCCAGGGGACACGAAACCCAGGCTGTAACAGAGGTGAGAAGGTTTCTGTTGCTGTCCAAGGGCGGGGCCACAGCACGGTTCCCAGCATGGGCTCTGGAACGTGCCCACTGGGTTCAAACCATAGCTCCACTCCTTCCTGCTGTGTGACCTTGGGCCAGTGATATCGCCTCTCTTTGCCTCCAGTCCCATCCAAGTGAGCAGCGCCTGCCTCTTAGGGTTGTTTTGAGGACTGATGGGATTTGAGCGTGGGCAGCACAGACCTGGCGGGTGGTTGGTGCTCCCTCCCTCGTCCTTGGAGCCCCCCGCCCACCCCCGGGCCGACCTGGGACTGGCTGGTGCGTGCAGTGAGGGCATCAAATCCACTGTGGAGAGAGGCACCGGGAGGGGAGGGCAGGCAGGCGCCCCTCCTCTTAGATCCCACAGGAAAGGGGACCTGTGGGCTAATGACGGGAACTTGAACCCTCAGAGGAGAATAGGTAATGCGGCTCCAACTTTAAACTATTGGATTTTTCTCTGGCTTAATCTCATTTCCCAACAAAATTTTCCTTTTTTCTGATTATAGCTCGGTTGCTCTAATGGTGCCCAGAAAATAACGTTTCAGTAAAATTAATGGTAGATTCGCAATGCAATATGCTCCCTCCAAATGGATTTGATGCATTTGGGATTTTTAAAAATATTCAAAGAACCGTTCATCCTTGATGGGGATGAATGGCAATGTACTAAGGAGAAAAAGCTATGCCGAGAAAACCTCACAAATACAAAATAGGGCTCTGGTGAAACTCCCCTCGGCCCCACTACCACCATCTCCCCAGCTGTTGCCTTTCTTTCTTTTTTGGGGAGGTGGCAAATTTTGAATTTTATTTGTTTGTTGAGTTATAAGTAACATGCCGTGCTATATTAGTTTCACGCGTATAATGATTCAACAATTGTGTACATTACTCAGTACTCATCACGACAAGTGAACTCTTTTTTTTTAATGTTTTTATTTATTTTTGAGACAGAGACAGAGCATGAGCAGGGGAGGGGCAGAGAGAGAGGCAGACACAGAATCCGAAGCAGGCTCCAGGCTCCGAGCTGTCGGCACAGAGCCCGACGCGGGGCTCAAACCCACAGACTGGGAGATCATGACCTGAGCTGAAGTCGGACGCTTCACCAACTGAGCCACCCAGGCGCCCCACGACAAATGAACTCTTGATCCCCTTTATCTGTTTCATCCGTCCCTCCACCTGCCTTCCCCCTGGCCACCACCACTTTGCTCTCTGTACCTACGAGTCTGGTTTTCTTTGGTCTGTCTCTTTTTCCCTTGGTTTCTCCTTTTGTTTCTTAAATTCCACACATCAGTGAAATCGTGTAGTACTTTTCTCTCACTGACTTATTTCACCTAGCACAATGCCCTCTAGATCCACCCACGTTGTTGCTAATGGCAAGATTTCATTCTGTTTTATGCTTCAGTGATATTCCATTGTACGTATATATCGCCTCTTTCTCCATTCGTCGATCGATGGACGCTTGGGCTGCTTCCTTATCTTGACTGTTGAACCTATAATGCTGCTGTGAGCGGGCGTTCATACATCTTTTCCAATTAGTGTTCTCATTTTCTTTGGGTAAACACCCAGTGGTGAGATAACTTGATCAAATGGTACTTCTCTTTTCATATTTTGAGGAACCTCCACAGTGGCTGCACCAGTTCAGTGCACGAGGGTTCCTTTTTCTCCACATCCTCGCCAACACTTGTTGTTTCTGGTCACTTTGAGTGTAGCCATTCCGACAGGTGTGGGGTGATGCCTCATGGTGGGTTTGATTTGCATTTCCCTGATGATGGGTGACGTTGAGCATTTTCTCACGTGTCTATTGGCCATCCGCGTATCTTCTTTGAAAAAGAAAATGTCAAGTCAGGTCCTCCGCTCGTCTTTTTATTAGGTTAATTGTTCTTTAGTGTGTTGAGCTATAGAAGTTCTTCAGATACGTTGAATGTTACCCCTTTGCAGATATGCCGTTTCCAGACATCTCCTCCCGTTCCCGAGTTGCCTCGTCATTTTGTTGATGGTTTCCTTTGCCGTGCAGAAGCTTTTTATTTTGCTGTGGCTCCAAGAGCTTAATTTTCCTTTGGTTTCCCTTGCCAGAGGAGACAGATCTAGAAAAGTGTTTCCGTGGCTGATGTCAGAGACATTACTGCCCGTGTTTTCTTTTAGAAGCTTTATGGTTTGAGGTCTGGCATTCAGGTCTTTAATCCATTTTGAGTTTATTTTGGGGTATGGTGTAAGGAAGCGGTCCGGGTTCATTCTTTTGCACGTGGCTGCCCAACTTTCCCAGGACTGTTCGTTGCAGGCACTATCTTTCCCCCGCTGTCACCACCCTATCCGGCTCCTGTCTTGGCTTTCTTGTAGGCACAAAGGAGCGATCCTAAGCAAACCTCATCCAATATGCAAACATACCCTCATTTCATTTTGACACACATTTTTTCCAGCACCTTCTCTGTGCGCAGCGTATAAAAGGCCCTGCAGAGGAGGCATGGGTTGGTGCGGTCCTGCAAGAGATGCCCTCTGAGGGGACATTGACCCTGTAGACATGGCCCTCATACCCAAACAGAACACCATGCCATGTCATCTGATAGGGACAGGGTCCAGTGGCTCTCCTGGAGGGAGCTTCCTGGACCAGGCTTGTGAAGTGGGCTCGGCTCTGCAGGAGGGACAATCCAAGCAGAAGGGACAGCATGAGGCAGTTAGAGCCCTGTGTAGGGTCCACCGGTCACAGGTCCTTTTAGAGCACTTGAACGTGGCCTGTCTGAATTGAGATGTACCGTAGGTGTAAATGCATATTGGGTTTCGTGGCTTGGCATGAGCATACATACGCTTTTTTGTACTGATTCCATAGTGAAATGGTGGTATCTGGGATAAAATATACGGTTAAAATTAATTTTACCTGCGTCTTTTCCCACCTGTGGCTTGCCTTCTCTTCCTATTGAACAGCACTGGTCTGTAGTCAGGGAGGTCTGGGGTATGGGGTGTGTCGATGACCTTCCTCCCAGCACTCTCTGTCCCTTGACCTCTGGCTGCTCTTATCACTCATCCTTCACTGACCAGGAACCCCCTGGGATCTCCATTCCTGATGCCCTGCAAGAGTGCTCAGAACTCCCTGCCTCCCTTCCCTCCACGGTCAATGTCCTTCTCAGTACCAGAGTTTATCTAGGAGCATATACAGAGTGGCCACATCACCGTGACCCTCCACCAGGACAGGTGCACTGAGGCAGGGGCTCTTGGAGGGCCTGAATGAGGGGACATATCCGACCCCAACCAGGGGTGTCAGGGGAGTTTGTGGCTGGCAGATCCTCATGGTTAGTCCCCCTGAAGTTACACCCCTCTTGGAACCACCTACCCCCTCCTCACCCCTCCCCTACATCCCTTCTGTGACTGAGGGGAGAAGAGATTCTGGTGAGATGCATTATGTTGATGGTC